GTTGCTCTCTAACCCTATGTTGGTCTATAATCACTAAAATTTCCCAAATCCGTTACTACAACCGTATCACTGCTTTATACAGTGGTATCTTTCAAGACACTTCATAATCCAGCTCAGTGAATCCTCACCTTAAAATAACTGCAGGGAGGAAGAGTCTTGGTTTTTTTTGTTGCACTATAGATTCCTGGGTCCTACTAGAGAGCTATGAAATCAAAGCTTCCAGAGACTGAGATGAGAAAATGAACAAAAATGAAACAAGCTCCTAGTGTTTCTGATGCAGAATAATTATTTTGGAACCACACACATTTTAGGTTGGCTTTCAAAGCTTTCTACCCAATTAGCCCTTTCCTACTGGGCCATCGCTATACCTCAACCCTTGGGTTGCTCCTTAACCCCAAGCTTGTTTCTTACTGCCCATTCTATGTACAGTGTGTAATATAATCTTTACTTTCCTACTCTCAAATCCTGCACTGAAGTTGTCCTACATGCATGACTCTTTTATCTTTTCTGTTGTACCAAGACACATCTTGCCTCCTCTTCAAGTTATGATTTTGAGTAATCTTCCATGATCTAATCCCATCTACCAATATAATCCTAGACCTTTCAATGCAATCTATCTTTTTAATGTTGCCTATTTCTTGTACTGTCTTCCCAATCAATGAAAAATCCTTTAGAAGAAGCCAAGTGTAAGGAATTTTTAGTTAGGTTAACTAACTTTTTTAGCCGAAGCAAACTGACTGCACTCCAATTCTTAGTATCTGGATCAATGAAGGGAAATATACAGATCTGCAAGGCTCTGTAAAGATGGGTTGACTCACTTAAGCTCTGACCATTTATCCATCCTGGTTCCTCCGGGCCATACTTGATCACTGCTCCTAGTGACAAAAAATAGACAGCAAGGCAACAGTTCAAACGAGAACATCCTTCCTGCAGATAAGCACTAAATATAAAGCTATAGATTTATGAGATGGATGTAGTCAAGCCAAACAAGTTAATAACTCCTGACTGAACACAGATAACCGATGAACAAGAATAGCAATTGAACCACTTCTCACCTTTCACTGAAAACAATGCTACAACAGTTGCTATTTTATTTATGCTACGCATTAAGAATAGATGATAGATTAAATCCAGCAATTCTGAGAAGAGAAGCAAGACAAAATTAATTTTGGTAGTGAGAACATTTAAAGATATTTTGGGGACAGGGTGAATAATCTCTTTACATCAAAGAACTAGAAATTCTAACTACTTCCCTATAAGGTTATATCACCTGTTTCAGCTCCAGCTGAGCAGATGAAATGTGGGAAGAACAACTTAAAATTTTAATTTGAAGCTGAGCAAATCCATTATTACTGCAAATCCAACTTTTTGAGAACACTAAACCATCTTTTAAACTGTCAAAATTAACAAGGGGCTCCTAAAAACGATTTTGAATTTGTTTTGCCCTTTTCAAAACTGAGGTTGGCAAAGGCATAGACTTCCAATTCTTTACCAAGATACCTAGTGTGGAGCTGTAGGGTAAGCATTGAACTGCAAAGTTGGTTTAAATCACAAGGTCAGCAGTTCAAATCCACCAGCTACTCCTCGGAAACCCTATGCAGGGTCATTATGCATTGGAACCAACTAGATGGCATTGAACATTAGCACATTCAGATTTAATTCAATCTCTCCTCAATTTGCCTTCTCTACCATTAACACTTTAGGGGCCAGCTCCCCTTAAATATAGCAGTCCATATTAATACCTTCCTTCTCTGAATTCCTAGGACAGTCCCATTTAAAGCACATAATTTACTACTTTAAGATTGAGCTCTAGTTGTTTTGCATCCGCCACTTTAATCTAAGATCAGAGCAGGAATCATAATTTGTAGCCTTATGAAGCTCTTTACAGTTTAGTACCTAGAAAAGGCTCATAAATATATCTATTATAATTCAATTGTCTATCTTTTAACAGAGGAGTCCTGGTGCGGCACTGCAGGATAAGCACGACTGCTAACCACAAGGTCAGTGGTTTCAGCCACTCCTTGAAAACCCTATATAGAATTGCTATCATTTGGAATGGACTGGATGGCACTTAACATCTTAACTGAACGTCACCTCCTCCATTATTGTTGTTTCCATTAGTAGGTAATATGACAATTATTAATCTATTCAATAAATGTTGACTGAAGACACAAAAATACATTCCTTTAATGTCCAAACTAAGTCCAAATTGACGCCAACTTAAGAATAGTGAAGATAATGACTTGTCCCATAAAAAAACAAATCCTCATTCTCTCACATTTAGTACACACACTTGCAACAACTTTAGCCCTTGATCAGGGGACAAAATGCTTTAATTTCCTGTTCATGTCTCCCCACCCAAGATATAATCTTTCTAAATGAAGAGGTGCTCTTGGTGCTCTTTATATGGTGGGCATTCAAATTTCTTTGAATCAATTATTTTCCAGAATATAAAATCTCATGGTATTTTTTCCCCCTCTTTAAAATGACCCTTTTACAATAAGGAGCCCAAACATCTCTGGCCACTTATAGATAGGTGTTGTTGTTGTTAAGTACCGTGGAGTCGGTTCCGACTCATAGTGACCCTGCACAGGGTTTCCGAGGCTGTAAATCTTTACGGGAGCAGAACGCCTCCTCTTTCTCCCGCAGAACCACTGGTATAGATAGGTAAGTAAAGGAAAAACCCAAAAAGTGGTTTAAAAGTTTTATATTGTCATACAAACCATCTTCATATACAAGTGCATAAGTAAAAAATCCCCACCCCCAAATATCACAGACCATTTTTGATAATATATCATCAAATTAAAATATATATCCCCTTTTGAATTCTAATCTTAAACTACTGCTAGGTACTAGCTTAAGTCTCCAAATGTTATAACTGACTGATCTGGTATGAACATGAATAGTTCCAGTGCCTTCCAACTTTTCCCTGAATTTTCTCCTTTTCAAAGTTCCAGGCAGTGTATAATTCTAATGCCCTTCAATTGGGATATAGCTGATTTAGATGTTATAAATTACCCACACTATTCTGATCACTAAGAATAGAGATATAATTTCCACACATTATACCCCTCAAACCATCTAGCACCATGTATAGAATTTACAATACTAATTAATCCAAGGATCAAGTAAGTGACAGCAATTATCTTAAAAACACTCATTTATTTTTTTTTATGTATGATACAAATCCTGTCTTACAGATTTTTCTGGCAATGTTCTCTGCTGTCTTAGGTAATTATATAGCTGTTATTGCTTGATGCCAATAACAATTCCCTAGATTATTTAGTAATGAGAAGCTAAGACATTAAACTTAAAAGACTAGTTTAAATATGGTAAAATACTGTTATAATAGAATTGCACGGCTATTTCTTTTCTATATTCCGGCTTCTTCAAAGTGCTATGGTTCCTGTAAGGTTTCTATCCTGCATAGACTCAAATTCTGAGTCTTTCACTTCTGGATGGCTTGACTATCATAAAACAGGTTTAACTGGTAGCAGAAAGGTTTCTAGGAGTTTTTAAAAGAGACCATTACACAATTACACAGAGCTAAAAAATATATACATATGCATACATACATACATAAACATACACACACACACACATATATATATCTATACATACGAGTCACTTCTCCTTTAAACCCAGAACATACACATACCATTATTTATAGGAAAAATACAACCCTGTGCTCCTTTCTTTGATTAAAGGTGAAAATAGTAGTTGAGGTGTGTTTTAAGAGTTGCCACGTAAAGTCATCTTGTTAGTTTAAATCAAACACAAACACTGCTTCAGTGGCATTTAATGTTTCATAAGTGATACATTACTCTTAGCACTTTTGCATTTCATCTTCACAAATATCAAGTTCAGATATGAAAATAATCCTGATTCTATAGAATTAGCCAGCAGTACTTGAAGCTGTTTTTTCCCCAGATCAATAGTTTTTCATTATGCGCAGGCAGCAAAGCAGTATTCTCTAAGGGTAAGCCTTGTCAAGGCTCAGAAAAAATCTAAGGTGAATTTAGCAGTGGGAACCTCAATGTATGTGAATTTTAAAGTTTCATGACTGACCCATTAAATGGAAATACCACAGGCTTTCTATAGAGCACTGAGCCTAGTGGTTGTCAAAGTGGTTGTTAAGGAGACACACTCAATTTTACTTATGTTTGTATGTCAGTCTGAGGAAAGACCTAAAAATCAATTTGTCAGACTTAGCTCTTCTCAGGAGTACTGGTGTGGCGTTGCGGGCTAACTGCAATGTTGGTTTGAAACACAAGGTTGGCGGTTCAATATCACTAGCTGCTCCTGGGAAACCCTATACAGGGTCACTACAGGTTGGAACTGATTCCATGGCAATTAACAACAGTTCTTCTCAAGAGCAGTGATGCTAAGGGAAAGAATCAGAGAGCAATGAACGGAAATGTACTGGTATGTTCATCTCTAGGAAGAAAAGAACCTGTACAAGACAAGGCTGTCCAAACCAGGAATTCAGATCAAACAAAAGCTTAGTAATCAGAAATGGTTCCCACACTGTTTACCTGTAAAGGTAAAGAAAGGCAATACAGTGAAAGAAAGATTAAAAAACCTTATAGGAGAAACCTTCAATGCCTTTTACATGCTTCTGCATATTCTCACTCATCCCAGAACTTTGGGTCACATGCATGCTTCTTGGAAAAGTCATGCTCTTATTGGCAATGCTGCTCTGGTCCTCTCTTTTCCTAGCCAAGTCCCTGTGAGCATATGGCCTGATTCCCTAAATCTCATCACTTCATAAATCTGCAAAAGGAGTCAGTTCTATAGTAATTTCCTGAACATTAGCACTAATCTCATTGAATGTCTCTGCTCAATTTTTGTTCTGTCTCTTAGAAGGACAGGGTGAATATAAAAGACTGAGGTCCTTCTATGGGATAGTCCCAGGAAACTGAAGTTGAAAGATATTATGGTTGTATAGCAGAATAGAGTCCATTTTGTGAATGTAATCAAACACATGGTGTACACATTTCCCAGGGTATAAACAATTTACACTAATCAATTAATATCGGTAATGAAACCCAACACATTGGTGGATCAGATTCTAATGTGACAATTTACAAGCAGACAGCACTCCACTGGGTTAATAAATCAGAATTAATTAACACAATACTTTAAATACTGCATCACTGAAAACTCCTAGCAGGCATGGTCCTCATCAGTTACTTAAAAAACAACGGTCATAATAGGAGAAAAAGCAAGCACCATGCTCCCTAGTGCAGGTTACTGGACTGCTTTGACAAGCACTGCAGTTCACAGATAAACACTTCACATCTTCCCCTTCAAGTTACTGAATCTTTCTTCTTCCGGAATGGTGACTTTAGCCTCTTCCATACACTGCTTTTGGGTTTAGACTTTTTCTCCATGGCCAGGACTGCCTCCTTTTCTTTCCTACGGATCTCCCGAACAAGGGCATGGAACACATCATCAATGTAGTAGCGGTAAGCAGCAGATGTCTCAAAAAAGGGACAGCTGAATTCTCGGGACAAAGCCAATCCTTCTTCTTTGGTGACCTTTAAACACATAAACATTAGAAAAATGAACAGTGGTAACAGGGGGAAATAATTACAAGCATCCAAAACAGTGAATGGACTACTGTAACAGAAAAAGAAGAGCCCTTAGGTAGCAAAAATGGCTAGTAAGCATTCAACTATTTGCTGGAAAGTTATGGATTTAAATGCACCCAGAGATGCTTCAGAAGACAGACCTGGCTTCACAATCTTGAAAAGGTCACAGCCTTGAAAACCCTACGGAGCAATTGTACTTTGCACACATGGGATCACCATGAGTTGGAATCAAATTGAGATCAGCTAACAATAATAAAAGGAAGAGAGCTTATCAACTCTAGAGATGTTTAAGCAGAGTACAGCTGTTTTGTTTTTTTTTAAATGTCTGAGAGACTAAATTACAAGGCTTTTAAGGTTTCTTACTGCCTTCAAATTTTATTATTCTATTTCTAATTTATTTTAAAGGTAACTTTTGGGAACATGGGAATAGTTATAGATATTGAATATGCATTAAGAAACAAAAACACAAGACAAAGAAATGTGTACTTAATCTTTCCTACTTTGGGACATTTAGATTGCTTATAATTTTTTTGCTATAATAAATAGCCTGGCAATGACATTTTATATATAAACCTTTGAATAGCTTTTTCAAAAAGGAGGTAACTGTGAAGCATTATGAATTTAACTGTCAAATTACTTTCAAAAAGTTTGTACTATTCACAACTTCCACTGGTTGTGGTGGTTACATGCTGTGGAGTAGGTTCTGACTCACAGTGACCCTGCATAGGGTTTCCAAGACTCTAATAAATCTTTATGGGGGCAGAAAGCCTCATCTTTCTCCCATGAACAGCTAGCAGTTTTGAACTGCTGACCTTGAGGTTAACAGCCTGATCTGTAACCACTACACTACCAGAGCTCCTCACAGCTTCCACTAGCAGTCACAAATGTGCTTGTTTCACTATATCTTCATCTCTATATCAAAAGTAAAATTTAAATATCATTACTAATTTGAAGGGCCAATACATATTCTAAAATATTCTATAGTTTTCTTATTATCGCCTTTCATGGCTCATAATGCTCACTGTCAGGAATTATACCTTGTTATTGAAGCTGAGTTCTTCCTGTTACAATATAAGATTGATTTCTGAGGATTTAAAAAATGAGCACGCCATGATTCTTCACACTGTGTACTCTATTTGTCTTCTGTCTTAGCTATCCAGTGTTGCTATAATAGAAATACCACAAGTAGAAAATTTAAGAGGCTACAAGTTCGAATTTAGAGCACTGACTCTGGAGACCTTGGAGATCTCCATTCATCTTGGCATCCATTTTTCCCTGGATCTAAGAGCTTCAAAGTACAGTGACCCCAGGTCCAAAGGATACACTCCACTCCCAGCTCTTCTATCTTGGTGGTAGTAGGTCCCTTTTTCTTTGTTCAAGTCTTTCTACTTTTACCTCTTATAAGATAAAAGGTGTTGCCTGCCACACCCTTGGGAATGTCCCTTACATTGGATCAGGGTCTTGGTGGGATTAAAGGTGGTATAAGCGTAGTGGTTACGAATTGGACTGTGAACCGCAAGGTAAGCAGTTGGAAACTACCAGCTGTTCCGTGGGAGAAAGATGAGGCTTTCTGCTCCCGTAAAGATTTACAGCCTCAGAAACTCTGTGTAGGGTCACTATGAGTCGGAACAGACTCCATGGCACACGACATGACATCCTACCTTTAAGGCTCTTAATGGTTTATCAGATCCAATCACATGGGAATAACTACATCTCAACTGTCTAGCCACTGAGAATCCTGGCCCAGTCAAGTTGACACAAAACCTTAACTAGCACACCATTTGACCATAATCCTATGGATTCTGTCCTGTAAACTGGTTCCTATGATCCAGATTTGATCCAAAATCAAAGCAAATGCGGAAAGTTTCAAGTTCAAGGAGAAGATAATTAAAAATTTTTATTTTAAGGCAAAGGAATCTATAGAGTAAAATCTTACAAACACTCTAGATAGCATTTTCTTCTCTAGTCTCACCTGCCTTAGCTGTTTTAGGTCGGACTTGTTTCCCACAAGAACCACAGGTGTATCATCAGTACGTCGAACTCGATAAATAAGCTGTTTAAACTCCCGAACTTCATGGAAACTTCTCCGATCCGTGATGGAATAACAGATGATAAACCCTTCTCCTGCCCTCATGTACTGATCCCTCATGGCTGTAAACTCTGCCTAGAGGGAAATAAGGGTCATTAATCTATTGATGAAACCTAGAACTACACATACATTTGCTATTGAGTTCAGATTAAAGAGAAGATATGTTGATTACCTGCTATCCTGAGTCAGAGTGCATGAAAATGAAAAGAGATGGACTAGTGATCTTCTCTGTGTTAAGTCTTTCCCTCCCCTTTACTAGAGTGAAAAAGCCTTTTACTCATAGCATCTTGGGATTTAATACCTGTCCAGCTGTATCCAAAATGTCCAGATTGGCTGGCTCATCATCAATACGGATCCGGATTTTATATGCATCTTCTACAGGAGAGAAGAAAGGTGTATCATAACCCACAAATGCAGGAATAAATACTGTATTTTAAAACTCTTCTTGTGGAGTACTAGACTCTACCCAAGTTCTTTATATGCGCAAATCTTCTCAGGAAGCAAGTGAAATCCATTGAGGTGTCATCAACTAAGATTAAATCAATGACATTAAGGAGTTGATGCAGATCAACTCCTTCAACAGTCACAATCTTCCAGTGAGGTAGGTATTATTCTCTCTGCTTTATAAAGAAAAGTAAACTCAAAAACATTCAATGTCTTCCCAATCATACAATTAATTAGTGGTAGAGTTAAGATTAAAACCCAGAGTTGTTTTTCTCAAAACCTTACATATATAACCATATGCTATAGTGTCTCTTCATTTCAATATTTTAGAAAAAAAAAATTATTTTGTAAACATTTTTTTTCAATTTCTGCTTTATGAAAGCAAATATCTTTATCCATAGTTAAATATCTTTAGATAAATCCATAGTTAAATATCTTTAGATATCATAGATAAATATCTTTTTTCAAGGTTTCTGGAAAAAATGTTGGAAGGTACAGAAGGTAAAAAAGCAGAGAAAAATCCAGTTGATATTTCTATTAGTAAAAAACAATTATTTACATTCTCATATTATCTTCTTTCAACATTTTTCCTCAAACACAACAAGCACACTAAATCAGTGCTTCTCAAACTACAGGTCATGATCCATCACGATTAATGAGTTGTACAATTAATTTACTGGGGTGGGGCCAACGTTAAAACAAATAAGAAGCCTAAAACAAATAGAAATACCAGAATGCATCACATGTAATGAGGTATGTTTATGATATGTTGATTTTAAACACATGTACATATGTGCAAAGGAGCCCTGGTAGCATAGTAGATTACAAGCTGGGTTGTTAACCACAAGGTCAATAGTTTGAGTCTACCAGTTGTTTTGCAGGAAAAAGAGGAAGAGGAGGAGGCTTTCTGCTCCTGTAAAGATTTATAGCCTCGGAAACCTTATACAGGGTCAGTATGAGTTGGTACTGATTCCATAGCACAGAACCACCAACCACCATACATATGTGTACGTTGTTGTTAAGTGCTGCTGAACTGGTTCTGACTCATGGCGACACTGTATAGGGTTTCTGAGGCCTTAAAAATTTTTGTCAGAGCAGAAAGCTTCCTCTTTCTTCTGCAGATTGGCTGGTGGGCTCAAACTGCTGAACTTGTAGTATGTAATCCTGTGTTTACCCTAAGGAGTTCCCACTTTGATATGCATATGGGTAAGGATCACAGTGATTAAGATTTCAGCTGCTAACTAAAAAGTCTCAGTTCAAACCCACAGCCACACCAGATATGGCAGTATTTCTCCATAAAGATTATAGCCTTGGAAACCCCAAGGGATAGTTTGACTCTGTCTTATAGGATCGCTATGATTAGGAATTGACAATGGGTTACAATGTAAAATTTTTTCTTCAGTTAGCAATGAAACAAATAGGTGCTCAAACTGATAACAGCAATTCCAAAAATGAGAGAGGAGGTTTAGGAAGCAGTGAGTTTGTTAACGACGGAAGAATAGCTCAAAAAAGGATGAAAATGGTTGTACAACTCAAAGAATGTAATATGTTACTCAATGGTACATGTTTGTACAACTGTACATTTAACAATTGAAATTGTTAAACTGGTATATGTTCTGCTGTATATATTCTCAACAAGAAAACATTTGAAACAAAATGTAGTACATGAAAACTCAATAAGAGCAAGAACTATGTTTTTGCTCACATGTCCCCAGGGTCTACTACTATGTTCTGCATATAATAGGCACCTAATCAAAAGGCACAGAATATTGTTAAATCAGATAATATAGTGTCCGGCGAGTGACTGATTAGAAAAAAGAAAGGTAATTCATTAATTTACAAAAAATATAACTCCAACATGAGACAAATACATGAGTTTTCACTTTAAAGAAAAGACAGGAAAAGCCACTTCTGGATTTGTCAAGTAAAAATTATCCTAAGTCATCAAATGATTTTATTCCTCAAATTCCCTTGACAGTTCAAAGCCCTGAAAATGTTCCAGATTTCATACAGTACATGAAAAACAAAACATAGTGACCCTGTAAAGGGTTTCTGAGGAGTGGCTGGTAAATTTTAAACTGCTGACCTTGCTGTTCAGTACTTAATCTACACTACCACAATAGCACTCCACATTCATTGCATAAAATTATCGTAGTTAAAGCTGTATTACCAAAGAACAGTCACTGGTTTGGTGGATTACAGAGCAACAGATGCCTTACTCAATGGAAATCCTCCCCAGACACCCAGGGTCATGGCAAAGAGGTTCACATTTGAAAATACTAATAGTTATGGCAGACCATCTGTGTACCCTCTTTCTGCAATTTTCCTTTAAATATTAAGGTGTAACTCCTTAGAACCCAATCTGATTCCTTATGGTTCAATAATGACATCAGTCTTCTTAATCTTAGTAAAGTCTAGCAACTAAAGAAGTAAAGCAAACAAAATGACTTTTTCATTCTAATTGGATTTTAGAATAAAATAGCCAACAATGGGTATTACTAAATTATGACAACTTCAAGTATAAGGAAGTAAATGACGGACACCAAGGGGAAGAAGTCCAGGCACTGCATGTCTGGGTTGCAAGAGTTCAGCAGGCAGGCTCTACTTGTTTTTCTGCTTCCTTTTGTAGAAGCACAAACCAGCTGACTCATAGTTACATAGTCAGTCTCACATCAGACCCTTAGAGAAGTGACAGCAAGAAAAGTTTTCCATTAAGTGCCCTTTAATCTTTTCCTTTAACCCAGCAATATAAATATACTATACGAACCATAAAAATACGACAAAGAAAGTCCCATTACTGCTCAATAAAAGACAGAGACAAAAGATGGTTTATGCACATATAGAATTGAATGAGGAAAAGAAATACACCAACTGTTATGACACTCTATTGCTAACTAAACTTGAAGCAGACATCTAAAAGCTTCAAAATAAAAATAGACACCATTTTAAAAACTCACATGTACTGGCAAGACACTTCTATGGTTTTTGTATGGTTAATATTTGGACACCTGAATGATAATCTGACTTACCAATGGTGGGGTCATGATCTTCTGGGAATCGGTGGCTAATGAACTGCATGGTCATTGCTTCAAAGCAAGAAATCAAAGTTAAAATTCACACAAAGGTGACCCCCATAAAGAATCCGAAGAATGAGCACTCACAGCCAGTATCCACCCCCATATGCTTTTTTTTGAAGTACTTTTTTAAAGTACTTTTCATGTTCTTGTTTTTTCATGTTTTTTTATGTACTTTTCATGTTCTTGTAAAATGGAAGAGAAACATTACCTACCACTTTTCCCTACACCACCAGCGCCCAGCATCACTAGCTTGTACTCTCTTGAGAGCCCTGGAGGGCCACTACAACAACTACCAGCTGGGCGAGTTCCAGAATCCATTGTCCTTTGGGGGAATCCTGGGCTGTCTCGAGGAAAACTACCTAGAACGAAAGAATTTAATTTCAATATTTAATCCAGGATGGAGATACCGGGACAGTCCTCGAGCCAGTACCCTGCCTTCCCACACTGGCCTAGCTCTCCTTGCTCCCTACTGCACTCTTTCTGGAGGCCAAAAGAAACCAGACACCTCGCCCTCTGTCCAGGACAGTTCAGTCCTATGACACATCTCTAGTTTTTCGAATCACTACTTATCTCAGAAATCAAAATAAAAAGACACAAAAAAATCAGAGCTTTTTCAGACTAGCGCACAGCAATGAGGAGGAGCCGCGGGAGAAAAGTGAGATTTGGGAATACTGCTCCTTAGGCCGCAGGGAGGTCCTCTCCAGCCCGCAGCCCCCCGCGGTCCGCTCTCTCCCCATTCTCCAAGGAAGTCCTCTCTGTCTCCCAGCTATACCTCCACCCACCATCATACCCGACTCCTTACCAGCCCGATCCCCCGCTGCTCCCACTGACCCGGACAGGGAAGCCACAGCCCAGTCCGATCACCCACTTAGACTTCCTTCACTTGCAGCGAGGGGCCGGCATTGACCTGTGACCCCTCCCGTGGCAGGGAAAGATGGCGCCACCGGTGGGAGGGGCGGGGCCGGACGCAGACGTCACGGGTGTTCCCGCCCTCTCCGGGGCGTGATATTTCCCTTCCCATATCCTCAAAACTTAAGACTTGGAGGTTGTTTTTGTGTGTCAACAGTAGTCAAAGAATTCTGGTATGGCGCTGTAGGATAAGCACTGGACCGAGAACACAAGTTCAGCAGTTCAAACCTTGTGTTTTGAACTATATTTTAATATAGCTGACAAGGCAAATTACCCCAAAAGGACAGCTGCTCCTCGGAACCAATTCGTCACTTAACGTGTCAGAACCAGAACCTACTCCTTGACATTTAACAGGTGGGGTCAAAACAATAGGATTTTCACAAATTCAAGAAAAAAAGTTAACGCTAGTAAGGTGTGGTGCTGTAGGATAAGCAATGGACTGCAAGGTCGGTGGTTCATTCACCAGCAGCTTGGCTACCCTATACAGGGTCGCTATGAGTTGGAACTGACTTGAAAGCACTTAACAGTAAGATGGTGGAGTCCTGGTGTGGTGCTGTGAATAAGTACTGTACTGCTAACCACTTCAAACCCACCAGTATTCTCCTTGAAAACCCTATACAGGATTACTAAATTGGAACTGACTCATTGACACACCAGTAAGAAGGCACATACATTGAGTTAACAACTCATAGCTGTTTGCTGCTTATGAAGAAAAAGCAATCGTCAAACGTGTTAATAAGGCACCACATATTGCCAAGTAACAGGATTGAAAATGTTTATTTAAATATAAGACAAGGCAAATTACCCCAAAGGGACAGCTGCAATGATTTGGGCTCTTGAAAACAATTAGATTTCGAAGACCAGATGTTCAAAATATTCATATTCCTAACCGGGGTTCTATATGTACTTTTTAAATTGAAAAATACACAGACCAATTTTACGTTCAATATATTCCAATTACTACAACCCTCTCAATGTAACATCACTTCCTCCCAGTGATTGTTTCCTTTCCCAACCAGTCTAAATTTTGTCCTTAGATATATGCTGCCTATTTGATTTTGGTTGACTACTGTAAGATCGGTTTGAACAAGGTGAGTGGTTCAAACACACACACCTATCTGAACTCCTGGTGCGGCACTGTAGGTTAAAGACTGGACTGCTAACCACAAGGTTGGTGGTTCAAACCCACCAGCAGCTCCTTGAAACCCTACATAGTCGCTATGAATCAGAATCAACTTAGTAAAATTTAACATATATAGTGCTTGGCTAAAAATTGAGCCACAAGGGCGAGTCCAGTTCCAGACCTGAAGGGTGACCAAGGACCAGTTTCATATTCCTCCAATCTGACCAGTAAACCTGTTTTTTCATAATTTTGAGTTTTGTTCCACACTTTCTTCCATTCTACCCAGGACCTTGTTTAATGTGATCCCTTTCAGAACAGTTGGTAGTGGTAGCCAGACACCATATAGTGCTTCTGGTCTCAGGGTCAGAGTTCACTTAACTATTTTCAAGCATCTTTCATTTTTATCACTATTTCTTCTGTACAGGAGAAACCAATAGATGCATTTAAAACAAGTATATGAAAGTTAAAAGATAATTCAGGGTTTTCTTTAAAACAATTTGTTGTGAACTGCTGTCAAGTCAGTTCTGACTCTCAGCAACCCCATATAGGGTTTCCAAGGAGTGTCTGGTGTTTGAACCACCAAAATTGTGGTTAGCAGTTCTGTGTTGATCCTATAGCATACCAAGAGTTCCTCTTAGCTATGGTAAAATTCAAGCGCTTCCAAGTGGTCTTGAATTAAATATAGCAATAGCTAAAGGCATCATCACCTTATTCCTTTAAAGAAGTAGCTACTGAAAGAAACTTAGAAATTTTCCTGAGGTAATTTCAAACTCCTCCTTTTTAAGAATGTCTCCAATAGAAATCAAGGTGCCCTGGTGAGACAGTGGGTTAAATGCTGGGCTGCTAACCACAATTAGGTGGTTCAAATCCAGCAGCAGCTCCATAAGGGAAATATGAGACTATCTGCTCCCATATTTAATCCTGGAAATCCTACAGAATTCTACTTTGTCCTACAAAGTACAAGTCGGAATTGACTAGATGGCAGTGGGGGTTTTTTCCCCCCTGAATAACTTGCATTTCCTTTAAAATTTGTTTCACTAAGGTCCTTTAACCCTAAGAAAAAAAAAGAAAACAAAAAAACCCACATCCAGTTGCAAATGACTCAATAACAAGTTGACTCTCAAACTTAAACAGTTTTCTGGCTGTGCTAATTAGCCAGGAGAAAAAGATGAAAGGCCTGGTGATTTACTGCCAAAAAAAAGTCAACGAAAACTCTATAGGTCACAGTGGTCTGATCTGTACTCAATCTTGAAGAAGCACAAGACAGGGCAGTGTTTTGTTCCACGGTGTGAGGTCACCAAGAAGAGGTGGTAAGACTTATAACAAAAATGGAAACAAGCAGTATAATGAATTTTAATGTTTTCGTCTAGAACTTAAGGATGTACTTAAGAGAATCATTAAGACCCTTGAAATGATATACAAACTGTTGATGCTATAAGTATGTACTTCTGGCGTGACATAATAGGATAAGCACAATCACAGGTTGACAGTTCAAATGCACCAACTGCTCCTGAGAAACCCTACATAGGGTTGCTAGAAATTGGAACTAATTTGATTTTACTTAACAACATATGAATTATATATATATTTCAGGTGAGGAGTTTATGACTTCATTATTCTGTGAGTCCCAAAGTTTGAGTTTTCACCTATGTCTGGATTATAGAAGAAAAGAACACAGAAACCAAGCAGAATATTTGTACATTTATTTATAATGAAATTATGGTCTAATATTTACAACATATAGGAAATCAGAGGACACGTTTATACAAAGCCAGCCTGCAAAGTATTCAAATGTGCAAAAATGACAGTTCAGTATCTCAAACTACTTCTGGTTCAGCAGACTAGCTCCTTCACGTTCACACATCAATATTTGATACAAAAAAGTTCTTTTGGCAAAATCTGTAATGCCAAGAAAAAGGACACGTTGCAATTTCAGTCACAAAGTCCACCATTCTACTGAGAGCAATCAAATCTCTCTAATTTAGCTGTAACCAGTTCGAGAGAGACAGACCACTGTGTTTAATTTCTGTGATGAATTCCAATCAGTTTTTGGTCAAGTAGTTTTTTCTGACCCAGCTGAAGACAAGGAGCTTAGAAGGGCAATTTAAAAACTGCAATGGCTATCTGAGACAAGTGTGTCTGAAAGTGGCTACTTTGGATCACCCCAATAAAAAGACACAATGAAAAAAGTAACTTCATTTTCCTACCCAGGATCCAGCTATATCCAACAGTTTTCAATCTAGTAAAATGGCATTTTCCAAAGAAAAGAATAAAAATGTGAAATATGAATGAATGAATGAGGATCTCGTAGAATTAAATACTTAAAAGATGGTCTTAAAACTCACTTCCTCACTGATACTTTGTTAATTATTGTCAAAATGGACTAAACAGTAGTAAAATACAAATAAAGCGTTCTTCACATCAAAGTAGGGGCTATTCATTTGGAAAAACTGTACCCAGTCAGATGTAAACATCAATGACCCTGTTGGGATGCTTAAACACATTTCATCCACTGTTTAAAAAAAGAAGGCTTTAGAGACAAGTTTGTGTTCTAAGTAAATTTTAACAGATATGGTGCCACTGCAGAAATAAGGATGTTTAAAAAAGAATGGAGTCCCTTTATGAAGGGGACAATGTTATCTCTAACTTCAGCAAAGGTCCAAGATGGTTCTCAGTACAGGCCCCAGAGTCTTGTTAAATCAAACACATGCATTATTGCTAAAGAAGAGTCACTGAGGGTCAGGATCACAATTCTGGTCCACTGTTTCCTATGGGGCCATCCAGAATGGCATCTGTTGTTTAGCTCTTGGCTGTGATGAAGGGTACTGATATCCTAAACTCCAGCCCTGTGGGAAACTACTTGCATTTTTATGACCTCCATGTTCCTCCTCTTCATCAGATGAATCTGCAGCATAAGCTACCAAGCCAAATCCCTTCTCTGTAGTTTTCATCTTCTTGGCTGGATAATCTAGAATAGAGAAAGACGCCCCAGCCCCAAAACCCACGAGACAAAAAAAAAAAAAGATAATACCATAAAATCGTTAATAAAAATAAAGATGTTAATTGTAAGTGATTAGTTGGACACCATTTTGAAGTCACAGGGTCAATGGTCACCCCAAAACGTTGATGATCACACGAAAACAGCAGAGCATCAGCAAATGTGAATCCACCAGAACCATGTAAGAAAACAGAGAAAGAAAAAAGAAACACAAAAAAAAAAAGGGGGGAAAAAAAAAAAAAAAGGAAAGTCATTAGCAAAGTGAGTTTCTGGGGGTTGACATTTCACCTTTTAAAGAGTTAAAAGAAAAGAAATTAAG